TTCATCTGACATAGGGTTTGCAGATTTTGATCTTTTGGGTGGTTTAGAAGTTGGAGACATTTCTCTTTTACTCGAATTATTTGTCATAATGGAAAATTGGGTGGGATAATTGCTTGTCTAAGTAACTCAAATATCTAAGGGTATAACTTGTTGTGTATTAACTGTGTTAATACTAAAAATCAATGGCGGATTTTAAAGATAAGAGGTTCAGTTATGAAGTGTAAGAGTCACTGTAAGTAGGCTTAAACTAGTGTATTCAGAAGTTAAAATCGTTATCAAACGACAAGTATGTATTAAATGATTAAAAACTTAGAAGGTTTGCTTTCTAGAAGCAAAGTGCACCGGGTACAATAGACAAATTCTAGTGAATAAGTGTAATACCCTACGAATGATAAATTTCCGTAAAACACTATACCACGTGAAAAAAAGTTACCACTTTCAGAGTTCGCGCGCTGATGTACGTGCTCAGTCAGCCCAGAGCTTCTAATGGCTGTACCAAGTTTTCTTTGGAACCAATCAGTGGGAGTTATACTCTGCTTAGATTTAAAGATGGGTTATTGAAATCTCCAGCTAAGAGTACTTGATCAAACCCCAGGAGTTGCAGTTGCAGTATTACCCCAATCAGTTTGCTTTTCTGGGCCTTTGTACCCGAAGGAGTTCGGTAGATCCCTCCAATCAAGTATTTCGTGCCATTCTTGTGGAAACAGTACCAACATGATTCTGTCACCTCAGTTAGTTGGGTGTCGTATAGTCGCTCTGCTTCTAAGTGGCTATTTATATATATAGCCACTCCACCCCCAGTTTGGTGTTCCCTATCGCTTCGGAAGAGTGCCATGCCTGGCAAGCTCACTTCTACGTCTGCAATGTCAGGGGATAGCCATGTTTCAGTTAGGATAATGATCTTAAGATCCATCTGAGAGCACATATTCCTGATTTCTAACAGCTTACCCCTTAGTCCTCTTACGTTGCTATAGAGGCACTTGGTGGTTTGTTTCAGCACCTGGTGCACTTCTGCATCAGCAGCCACTGTCGGATTTTCGGACAAGTTATTCCTTTTGAATTAGTTTCGTTGAATGTACATGGAAACGAATGGAAAAAAGAAGTTTTGGGAGATCATCAAGTGAGAACTGCTGTCGAACGTTTTTTGGTGAACATCTTTAATTATATGTCACCGACTGAAAATAACGAAACATGGCATTTTAGTGGCCTAGAAAGTGTAACAGTTTTTACAGCTTTTGAAAGCTTTACTGATAAAAGTCTGTTGTATTTAATACTACATTTTCTGAAGATTTATATAAGATACTGTTGGCCGAGTTCAGCGTGCTGATACGCCTTTCCTAACACTCCATTTTCATATCGTGCCATTCGAGCTTATGTCACGTTGACGCTCTGTATCAGGGACAATACTTCAAGCACCGACATGCTGAGTGTCACAATTCTCTGTTAGGTTAACCTGCGGAAACTCTACACGAACAAGTAAGTGTCACATACATCAGTGAGCGCTTCCAGAGAAACATTTGATCTTTGTTAGAGAGCATATCTCAATAATTATCACAAGTTAACTGGCGTACTCTACTTCTGATGGAAGCCTGTGGGCCGTTCGTTGGAACCAGAATTGGGCGCAAAGAAACAACTTGGTCTATAGCGTCTCGTGAAAACGTTATTGTATACTGGCCTTCACATCATCATGTCAACCAGCATGTTCCGGCTGCCTTGTCCATTACACCTCATAACCATTAATTCACCACGTCTGATTGCTGTGGAATTCGGAAACCAGGAAGACATAACTGGGGCGCTTCACGCTTGGTACAACATGAAGTAAGATTTATCCTGCCACATTAGATGAAGCGAGTGCCGACCTAGATCTGCAAGACAAAAACAGGAAGGCCATAATAAGCACACACAAATGACGGTTGACCCCGATCAACAACCCACGGCTAAAGAGAAGAAAATAATGGTCTCGCCAATTCAATGCACTACAAAAACAAAAAACCTGCAGAAGCCAGGGCCCACAGTACTAGCCAGCTCGGTTTGAACAACTTGTCGGAAAATCCGACAACGGTTGTTGCCGCACAGTTGCATCACGTGATGAGACACGTCAACAAATCTCTCTTTGATAACGTAAGAGGACTAAAGTGTAAGTTGTTAGCAATCAGGAATATATGCCTTCAGATGGATGTGATGTTCATAATCCTAACTTGAAGTTGGCAATTCATGACACTGCAGGCAATGAAGTGAGCTTGTAAGGCATGACACTCTTCTGATGCGATAAAGTACACGAAAAAGGGAGCAGGGTGGATATATATTGTTAGCCATTTCTGGGCCATTAAATTACAGCGAATCCAACTAACCCACCTGACAGAATCATGCTGATGTTGCTTTTACAAGAATGGAACAAAGCATTTAATTTCTGGGATTTGCCGTCCAACCCGATATGTAATAATAATATATTTATTCTCAGTATGTAACAAGAGGTATGCCAGTTTACAGGCTAGATCAGATTGTTACGAATGCTGATTACTAAGGCCCAGAAAGATAAGTCGCCTGAGACAATGCTGCAACTACTACTCTTTGTGTTTGATCACATACTCTTAGCTAACAGTTTCAGCACTCCACCTCTAAGTCTCAGAAAACAGTTTACTACTCCCGCAGGTGGGTCCTACCTGGTCCTACAGGTCCTACTGGGCACGTACACAACGCCAATGGATGGACTAAGGGTGGGAAATTCTCAAACTTGGATTATTTGTTAACAAATTACCAGCACCTGGTCGAGGATATTCACGCCGATATACCAATAGGAAGTAGTGACCGTGGCACAGTCTTGCTTAACACGGTCCTATGAGGAACACACAAGCATGACGAGAGCGAGCCCGACTTTCTCTAGTCTAGGACAAAGTTCATGCACGTGAGAGACAATGTTCTACATACTTCATAGACACGGCAATGACGGGGGCTGACAGATGACAACTGGAAGACAGTCAGAAACATCATCCAGAATGTTGTCCTAAACAGTGTATCTCATGCACACCAATGACCTGGAAAGAGAACTTGGGTAAAGAGGCACTGAACACTTGCTACAGGCAAAAAATGCCTTGTGCCAGTGGAAGGTGTCTCTCAAGGATTCCATCCGTATTTTTACTCGGTATTGAAAAACCGAAGTTTGAAGAGATATTAAACACTCTCAGATAAAGCTAGCCGCTAAAATACAGGTAAACTCTAAGCATCTCTCCAGGTTTATGACTAAAAGAAGGCCTACAATCAAGGGGGTTTGTGCTCTCAGATGTCCGAATGAAGAATATCTTACAAAAGTAGAGATGCCTGGGATCTTCGGCACCAAACTCACCAATCAATGAAACAGATATCGACAAATTCATAGTTCTACTCAAACAGCCCCACTTGATGTTCCTGGTAATATTCCATTTGGTCCTGACCTAGTACTAGGAAAATTAAAGTTCTTCTGTCACGGAAAGTCAACAGGATGTGCAGATATTCACCCCCATCGGTTCACCGATTCGTAACCTGTTCAGGCATTCACTGGGTTTACACCAACTCCCGGCTGAATGGAAACAATCTACTCTCTCTCTAATCCTCAAAAAAGGGGATAAGTTGCATTACTACCAATACTATCGAAGGTAAAGAAAGGGCTGATTAACGAACAATTTAGGGAGTACATGGATAACATCAGAATCCTCCCTGAAGCTCATCAAGGTTTCCGGAATGGTAAGATGTGCGCTTCCAATCTACACATAGTATGAGGCAGTTGAACATCCTTCTGAGACTGAAAAGTAATGTTTATTTCACAGGGAACCATCTTAGGTCCACTGTTCTTTCTGATATTCGTTAACAACCTATTAGACAAAGTTACGTCTGTGACAATTATCTATGCTGATGACGCAAAGATCTGGAGGTCCATTAGAAGCGCAGAGGTTTCAACTGAACTTCAAAAGTACCTTACATCTAATGAGGAATGGGCAGTGAAAAATTATTCAAAACTAAACCATTCGAAATGTCACTTTATGTACATTCCGCTCCATTTGACACCAGAGACTTACACCATCAATGTAAGTCCGCTCCCTAATGTCTCTTCAGAGCGCAATCTCAATTTAATAGCCAATGAAAGCCTCGACACCAGTTCGAACTATATAGGGGACACAGCCAAGGCAAACAGAACTCTTAACTTTATACGAAGACATTTTGGTGCAGTCATGCCAGAACAAAACTTAAGAAACTAGATACCAGCATGTGGGATTATTCTTTCCAAGTTAGACGAGAATTAGAGGTGATCTGATAATGGTTTATAACATATTAAGCACTCCAAATCATCCCAAAGTAAGCATCTTACCGAAGCATTACTACCACTATTATCGATATAATCCTCGAAAAATTACGCATCAAAGAAAAAAACCCAGGTATATGCACACTTTTTCTCACTAAGAGTCGTTGCGAATTGGAGTGCTCCCAAAGACGTGGTGACCACAGCCCCCCTGAGCGGAGACCTTGAAGAAGAGAATTGGTAAACGCGTACTCACATGCGGATTATCATCTCTTTTGTGGACCAGCTGTGCCTGATGCATATCTTGAGACCGACTGGTTGCTGTTATCGCCATTTCTTCACTTAGCTAATTTAATCTATCTCGCTTTAATCTCCGTTTCCTTTCCCTCGCTCACACTTAAGCCCACTCGCACAATCTTCACTACCAATTACTCAGTTCTGGAGTCCCACCATTGAAATTTTCTCCTTATTATCCCCAAAACTTAAACTAACTGATCTCTAGCCTGAAAATCCAATAGCTTTTAGAATCTAGAACCCCTTCTGAAATGGAACAGGTGTATTCATTCAACTAACTCATAAACAAATGCCAACCGACTAGAATTAGTGCAGTCGGGTGGCTAGACCTCTATCCATCGGACGCTACCGAATACCATACTGAAAGAACAAGAATCGAGCGCAAAGAAATTAATTAGTTTACACTAGTTCGTTGAAACGATATTGGGCATTGGAATCACTTTGAAGGTTAAATATCAGGCTAGACAAATTTAAAGTAGCACGGGTCATTTCGCTCTCTGTCGTATATCTGCACATCTTGAATGGTCGAAATGTCAGGCGATAGTGGTTTATATCATTTAGATGGAGTATCTGCGTCAGAGTTATTTAAACCGGAGCTTGGACTTACATTCAGGTACGTCTATTTCACCAGCTTTATATTCCGTAAAGTGACGTAATCATTCTTCCTGGATTTGTTGGTTTTGGAAAGAATGAAATTGACCTTACCAGCAGGATATGTAAAAGGTTTTCTCTGAAAGTCCCGTTTGCATCTTCCCCAATGGACACAGTTACTGAAGCGAATATGGCTATAGCAATGAGTGTAAGGAATCTAGGTTCCATTGTGAATTATTACTAATATTAGCTTTGTGGCTCAATAGGTTTTGTCCACCACAACTGTTCTATAGTGGCTCAGGCAAATGAAGTGAAGAAGGTTAAGGTAGGTAGACTATTTTATTCATGACATCAGTGTTTAGCATTAACTATCGTGCTACGCTTCAACTAAAATTCTCATTTTTACTTATATTCAAGAAGCATTTCGTCTTCACCTTATATTTTTTGCTAACTAAATTAATTAACAATCAATATTTTTATCAATAGGCTAGGGTCTAGATTTTCTTATTTGGGATTTCTTCACGCTTACTCCAATCTTAATAGAACTAAGGGAAATAAAAAATTAACCAACTGTATTTCTCAAATATTATTGGCGAAGATATTTAGACACCCTATTATTGAGTTCAACAGGCCTTATAGTTTTATCAAAGGTTAAATTTCTGTTGTGAGCATTCGATTCTTTCACAAAGTTTTCTTGACTAAGAAACTCGGGGTAGTTATTCAACACTGGCATGACGTGCTATAATAATTTTGGTTCACCTAACTGATGTCTTATTTTAGAGCTCAAATTGGATGTGTCTAACATTGAGTGCATTGGTACATTAAGATACCTCCACATTTTCTAATAACTGACTGAACATTCAAGTATTATCATTCGTTCTCATTACGTTTGTCGATATATCTTTAGAATATCATTAGTTGCATCGTTTTACGTAGTTAATCCGAATGAGCAGGATTTTACCATCTTATAGTAGTAACAATGGATCGTACTGATTCTCACAATGGTCCTACTTTTAGGAATTGATATAAAATTACTTAACCTACTTCATTAGATTTAAGTCGTCGGATAACCGATTCGGACCTTGTATTATGCGTATTGCACAAGTTATCTACACTTTATCACTTCTATTCAGTGCTATCTCACCATATACTTTTGCATAATTCTGCGTTCTTTTTTATTAAAGATGGCGGTATGTTATGCACTGATGATTTGAATAGCCTAGCATGCTCTTCACATATCGTGTAAATGTGTATTAAAATTCTTAAAAACTCTCAAATTGTACCACACTGACATTCCGTGTATTCTAACCACTAGCCACTTTGTGTTAATATTGAACACTACTTATATAAAATTGATATTTTGGGGAAAAACTAGTAACCTAAAGATAAAACATATTGGTCCTTCACTTATTATTTCAGCTGGGAATGAATAGAGATAAAAGCAGAACTTTCGTTAGTTAGAGACTGAATGCATAACAACAGTAACAAAGTAGTGTATGCTTTCCGAGTACCAAAATGAGATTTATTTACGTGTATACTCATGGCTAACTCTATATAAGAGGCGAGCAAATATTTTCCTTATAATTAACTCGTTTTATAACGTATCTTAATATTCTAGTAATCGTTCACAGTTAGTAATCTTCCAGCTTACGGTTCATTTCATTAAATGGCTCGAATGGTTCAGATTTTAACCTTCAGAATTCCTCAACATCTCTTTCTTTCTCTTTCTAACTTTATCTCACTGAATTATACACTAATCTCCGATTACTGCTAAAACTTCTACTATCGCTACCACTATTGGATATGAACTGTCTCTGTGCTAATCCGGTATGGCAACCTGAACTGATGTACAAACGTACGAAGTTCTGTGTTGTATCTATCTGTCTGTCTGGTTCGATTGCATATAAATTTTGAAACTGTAGTTTATATTCAGTTACACTTATTGTGATCAGTGCATGAGTTGTTAACCTGTTTTTGCGTGATACAGTGTCGTTTTGTAAACTATTTGTATACATTTGTAAGCATCATCTGTATTTCTATTGAAATCGGTATGATGAAATAAACATTCACACTCAGCGGTTGCACATGAAGTCACTGTGTTTAATGTCGTGACAATAAACAAAAACTTATTTTTATTTTACTGTTTCAGAAATATAACCAAGGTTTCATCTTATCGCCAGTTGTCGTCTCACCGAAACAAACCGTCTATGATATCATTGAAATAAAGAGGAAATATGGTTTTGGTGGAATTCCTGTGACTGAGGATGGCTTTATAGGCAGTCGCTTGGTTGGTTTAGTCACTCTTCGTGATGTGGATTTCTTGGAACCGAATAACTTCAACATACCTGTTGAAAAAGTCTGTCTAATTTTACGTTGATTTATCCATTAAATCACTGATTTTTGTAATATGGGAGTCACCACTAGGGAACTTCCATTCAATAAAACTATGCTCTTGCCTAACACACAAATATTTAATATTTTAGGCTGCACTATCGTTCACTGTTAGCTATATATATATTTGAAATAGCCTTACCCATATTCTATGATTGCTACTAGTTACCGCCTCTAAACTTGTGTCTACTTCTCGGGCGCTTAACTTACGGTGCCAGTTTTCTGGTCTTATGTATTTACATGTCAGTATGATAATGTCAGTTGTATTAAAAAAAGTTAAGTATAAAAGGTATGGAGTCAAATTAACAAATGAAGTAGAGTGCTTAATAATAAGTTACAATATTAGCACTCGAAAAAAACCACATTCTTACCAATAAGCTTGATTTCAAGTCATACCACTGATTTGTATCACAGTAATTCACTGTGGTCTGTGGGAGAGAACAAACCGAATTCCAGCGGAGGAAGAAATCAGGAAGAAGCGGTGGAAGTGGATAGGACACACATTGAGGAAATCACCTAACTGCGTTACAGGACAGGTCCTCACTTGGAACCCTCAAGGTCAAAGGAAAAGAGGAATGCCAAGGAACACATTACTCCGATAAATGGAGACATATCGGGAGAATGAGAAAAAAGTAGACAGAAATGGAAAGGGAGGCTCAAGACAGAGTAGGCTGGAGAATAATAGCCGGTGGCCTATGCTTCATTGAGGGTAACGGGCATAAATTTCTCGTAAATTAGAAAAATTTCACTGTCGTACTGTTTTTTTAAACAGTACCTTTGGATTAAAAGATATTATGCAAATGACATAACCTTTGAGAAAATTAAGATTGCACAAAAAACTGCCACCATCTCTCTGTAATAAACAAGAGACAAGCGATACAAATACCAAACAGTAATGAAGATTAAAGCTGGATATAATAATATAAGAACATCACAAAGCTTAGTTATCACGTTTTTAATACTGTCATTTATTTTATACATTTCATTAAAGATCTCAAACTGTCGTTTCCTAATCTATTAATAGGTCGAATGCACTACATCACGACACTTACTTACTTACTTACTTACGCCTGTTACCCCCAATGGAGCATAGACCGCCCACCAGTCTTCTCCAACCAACTCTGTCCTGGGCTTCCTTCTCCAGTTCTGTCCAATGTTTGTTCATTCCTCTCATATCTTTCTCTATTTCTCGGCGTAATGTGTTCCTTGGCCTTCCTCTTTTCCTTTTGCTTTGAGGGTTACATGTGAGGGCTTGTCTCGTGACGCAGTTAGGTGCTTTTCGTAGTGTGTGTCCTATCCACTTCCACCGCTTCTTCCTGATTTCCTCCTCCACTCGAATCTGGTTTGTTTTCTCCCACAGTAAGTTGTTGTTGATGGTGTCCGGCCAACGAATCCGAAGTATTTTGCGTAGACAACTGTTTATAAATACTTGTATCTTCTGGATGATGGCTTTCGTACTTCGCCAAGTTTCCGCTCCATACAGTAGAACTGTCTTCACATTTGTATTGAAAATCCTGATTTTGGTTTTGGTTGAAAGTTGTTTGGAGTTCCAGATATTTTTCAACTGTAGAAATGCAGCCCTTGCTTTGCCAATCCGTGCCCTCACATCTGCATCAGATTCACCTTGGTTGTCGATGATGCTGCCCAGATATGTAACGGTGTTAACGTCCTACAAGGCATCTCCATCGAGGGTGACTTGGTTGGTGCATGTTGTGTTGCATCGGAGAATTTCGCTTTTTCCTTTATGTACGTTGAGACCTGCTGCTGCAGAGACTGCTGCTACATTGGTCGTCTTCTCTTGCATTTGTTGTTGAGTGTGCGATATAAGAGCCAGGTCATCTGCGAAGTCCAGATCGTCCAGCTGCGTCCTAACTATCCAGTTGTGTATGCGTGTGTGCGGGAATATTGTACCACCGATTACCAGTTTGTTGAAGGCACATAGGTTTGCAAATCTCTCACCATTTTCGTTCCTTTCTCCCAGTCCATGTCTTCCCATGATGTCTTCATATCCAGTCTTGTCCATTCCAACCTTGGCATTCAGGTCTCCCATAAGAATCTCCAAATCCTTTGGTGAACATTTCTCGACGATTGACTGCAGCCTTTCGTAGAATTGCTCTTTAACGTCGTCATTGTAGTCATTGGTAGGTGCATAACATTGGATGACGTTCATTGTCATGTCCTCTTTCTTTGTTTTGAAGGATGCTTTATTGATCCTGGGTCCATGAGATTCCCATCCTATTAGTGCCTTTTGTGCATGTTTGGACAGCATCAGTGCAACTCCTTGTGTATGTGAAGCATTTTCCTCTTCATGACCAGAGTAAAACAGCAGTTTCCCTGAAGCTAATCTCTTTTGTCCTACCTGTGTCCAATGCGTTCCACTGATGCCAAGCACTTCGAGATTGTATCTTTTCATTTCTGCCGTAACTTGAAATAGTCTTCCAGTCTCCCACAATGTACGAACGTTCCATGTACCTAAAAAAATGGATGGTGTAGTTGTCAGAAGAGGCATCAGCCTCGTGACTTCCGAGGGAACTCGGCTTTCATCACGCGACGTCATAATTCTTCCTCCAACTCCCAGGGCAGAGTTAAAATGGTTTGAATTATTTTTTCTGGTTAGCGTTTTTTTGGCAAGTTGGTTTTTGACGGAATGGGGTCGCCAACCCCATGTCCAACCCTCCTCCTTTACCCGGGCTTGGGACCGGCAGTAGCCCCGAAGGTTCTACTGGCAGAGTTACATCACGACACACATCGAAATATTTAATGGATAAGCATTAAAACATGTTCAAACTATTTTAGTTATTGCTTGTTTATGACCTCAGAACTGTTAAATTTATAGCTGACCGACGTCATTTTTATCGGTGTTTCTATTGAATATTGTCATTACCTTGTTTAAAACTATTTCACTAATCCATTCTTGTTTGTAATGTTTATTGTCTTTAATGATACATATCGTCAGAACGGGAGAGAGAGAGCTTGTACAAACCTTAAATTGTTTCACCGAACTAGTTGTTTTCTCTTTCAGGTAATGACACCTTTTGACGATCTTGTTACGGCATTTTCTGGTGTAACATTGCCTGAAGCAAATGATCTTCTGAGAAAGAGCAAAAAGGGTATCAGTGAAATATTTAATTTTTAAATCATATTTTATTTGCAGCGTTTATACAACGAGTTTTTTCTTACAATCGTCTATTCGATTTCTGGAGCAAAATGATCGTTTAATGACTAATAAAATTTACTGTTTATATAACATTTCAAAAGATCTATTGAGCATCAACTTTTTTCATTGACTAATCGGTTAAATTAAAGCACTTCAAATAATATGTCTTCTGAAATCGCTATCGATTAACTGTTTTTACGACCATTATTTCCAATAGTGATAACTGAATGCATTTTAATTCAGCAACATTTATTCATGTTATCATTTAGCAAGAACCATTCTAAATTTGAATTACTGAAATATAGCTATCGAGGGATATTAGTTGATGTAACGGATCTCGCACTACTTCATGCATTCAGTGATATTTCTGAACAATACAGTTATTAGTTTTATTGTTAACAAATAAAAAAACTATTATATTCTAGTGAACCCAATAAATCCTGTGTATTTTGCATTATAATACCTCTGAATTTCTATTCAGTATTTGAAGGATACTAACTGAAAGTGAAACTCACTTTTGATGTTCCCAGTATCTGAAATCAATCTTATCATTAATCCATAATTATCAACTACATTTATCAGTAGAGTTATTTGTCCGATCTTGTTGTCTACCGTTTATGCTTTATAATGGTATTACCATCAATTTTATTGGAATATTACATAGATTGGGTTGAAGAACTTCCAAAAGACATCCAGCGTTTTTATATATTATTAGCGCATAAAGATTTTCAGATTCACAAGTATTAAAGTTCAGACAATCTGAAAACAACAGTAGTTTTAATTGATAGTCATTTTAGATCAACTTCGAACCTGGTCGATAAGTGTGCTTGGCCTACTTTCTAACTATTTCAAAAAGCAATAGTCAAGAAGGGTTGTCAGTGAACTCTAAAAAAGATTTAAGTAAACACATTCAGTTAGTCATTGAGTCAGATTAGTGTGTAGAAAATTCATATTTTGTTCTGTTTTCATCACAATATTGATATGTAGCTTTTCCTTCAGTGAATTAAACATATTAGTAATAAGTTAATTTTCCTATCGTGAATTATTCATCGGTATTTACTTAAAGTTTAACAAGAATCTAAAAGATGACACTGAATTCAATCTTCAATTGCACACAGGTAAATTACCAATTATTAATGAAAATCGTGAACTGGTGGCATTAATTGCACGAACTGACTTAAAAAAGAACCGAGATTATCCACTAGCATCTAAGGATTCCGAGTAAGTCTTTGACTTCACATTCGCATATATATATATATATATATATATATATATATATATATATATATATATATATATATATATATATATATAAAGGAGGAGCGGTTGAACATGGGGTTGGCGCTCCCATCCCAACTAAAAACCAACTTGCCAAAAAAACGCTAACCAGAAAAAATAATTCAAACCATTTTAACTCTGCCCTGGGAGTTGGAGGAAGAATTATGACGTCGCGTGATGAAAGCCGAGTTCCCTCGGAAGTCACGAGGCTGATGCCTCTTCTGACAACTACACCATCCATTTTTTTAGGTACATGGAACGTTCGTACATTGTGGGAGACTGGAAGACTATTTCAAGTTACGGCAGAAATGAAAAGATACAATCTCGAAGTGCTTGGCATCAGTGGAACGCATTGGACACAGGTAGGACAAAAGAGATTAGCTTCAGGGAAACTGCTGTTTTACTCTGGTCATGAAGAGGAAAATGCTTCACATACACAAGGAGTTGCACTGATGCTGTCCAAACATGCACAAAAGGCACTAATAGGATGGGAATCTCATGGACCCAGGATCAATAAAGCATCCTTCAAAACAAAGAAAGAGGACATGACAATGAACGTCATCCAATGTTATGCACCTACCAATGACTACAATGACGACGTTAAAGAGCAATTCTACGAAAGGCTGCAGTCAATCGTCGAGAAATGTTCACCAAAGGATTTGGAGATTCTTATGGGAGACCTGAATGCCAAGGTTGGAATGGACAAGACTGGATATGAAGACATCATGGGAAGACATGGACTGGGAGAAAGGAACGAAAATGGTGAGAGATTTGCAAACCTATGTGCCTTCAACAAACTGGTCACAGGCGGCACCATATTCCCACACAAACGCATGCATAAAGGTATATGGATATCACCGGACCACACTACTCAGAAACAAATTGACCATATTTATATCAATAAAAAGTTCAGAAGGACTATGGAGGATGTGAGAACCAGGAGAGGAGCTGATATAGCCTCAGATCACCATTTGCTGATCGCCAAAATGAAACTGAAACTAAAGAAGCACTGGACAACGGGGCAGACAACATCACAGAAGTTTAATACGGCCTTTCTTCGGGATACCGTAAAACTCAACTCTCCAATAGGTTCCAGGCCTTGCAGGATCTACTCAATGGGGAGGAAGCCAGATTGGAGAACAGTTGGAAAGAGATCAAGGAAGCAATCACTTCAACATGTCACGAAGTTCTGGGTCGCAGGATCTACCATCAGAAGGAATGGATGTCTGTTGGTGCTACTCTTGCAAAAATGGAAGAAAGGAGGAACAAGAAGGCAGCAATCAATGTCAGCCGAACAAGAGCAGAGAAAGTTACCGCACAAGCTGCATACACAGAAGCAAACAGGGAAGTGAAGTAGAGCATCAGAGCTGACAAACGAAAATATGTGGAAGATCTAGCTATGACGGCGGAAAAGGCTGCAAGAGAAGAAAACTTGAGACGATTGTACGAAACAACAAAGACGCTCGCCGGAAACTATCGTAAACCAGAACGACCAGTGAGAAGCAAGGAAGGGAAAATAATCAGCAACACTGAAGAGTAGAGAAATAGGTGGGTAGAGCACTGTCAGGAACTATTGAATCGACCAGCTCCACTGGACCCACCCAACATCGAAGCAGCATCCACGGACCTCTCAACTAATATTGGCGCACCTACGATTGACGAGATCAGTATGGCCATCAGACAAATCAAGAACGGCAAAGCAGCAGGACCAGACAATATTCCAGTAGAGGTAATGAAAGCAGATGTAGAAGCAACTGCGAAAATATTTCACATCCTCTTCAAGAAGATTTGGGATGAGGAACAAGTACCATCAGACTGGAAAGAAGGATACCTGATCAAAATACCAAAGAAAGGCGATCTGAGCAAGTGTGAGAACTACAGAGGCATCACTCTTCTTTCAATAGCAGGCAAAGTCTTCAACAGGGTATTGTTAAACAGAATGTAGGACTTCGTAGACGTCCAACTTCGAGATTAACAGACCGGATTTCGTAAGGATCGATCGTGTACTGACCAAATTGCTACATTACGGATCATTGTGGAACAATCAGTTGAATGGAACTCACCACTCTACATCAACTTCATCGACTACGAGAAAGCATTCGATAGCGTGGATAGGAAAACACTGTGGAGGCTTCTTCGACACTATGGTGTGCCTGAGAAAATAGTTAACATCATACAGAATTCTTATGATGGATTCAACTGCAAAATCGTGCACCGAGGACAGCTAACAGACTCTTTCGAGGTGAAGACCGGTGTCAAGCAAGGTTGCTTACTCTCACTCTTTCTCCTGGTCATCGACTGGATTATGAAGACGTCGACGTTTGGAGGGAGGCACGGTATCAACTGGACAGTTAGGACGCAGCTGGACGATCTGGACTTCGCAGATGACCTGGCTCTTATATCGCACACTCAACAACAAATGCAAGAGAAGACGACCAATGTAGCAGCAGTCTCTGCAGCAGCAGGTCTCAACATACATAAAGGAAAAAGCGAAATTCTCCGATGCAACACAACATGCACCAACCAAATCACCCTCGATGGAGATGCCTTGTAGGACGTTAACACCGTTACATATCTGGGCAGCATCATCGACAACCAAGGTGAATCTGATGCAGATGTGAGGGCACGGATTGGCAAAGCAAGGGCTGCATTTCTACAGTTGAAAAATATCTGGAACTCCAAACAACTTTCAACCAAAACCAAAATCAGGATTTTCAATACAAATGTGAAGACAGTTCTACTGTATGGAGCGGAAACTTGGCGAAGTACGAAAGCCATCATCCAGAAGATACAAGTATTTATAAACAGTTGTCTACGCAAAATACTTCGGATTCGTTGGCCGGACACCATCAACAACAACTTACTGTGGGAGAAAACAAACCAGATTCGAGTGGAGGAGGAAATCAGGAAGAAGCGGTGGAAGTGGATAGGACACACACTACGAAAAGCACCTAACTGCGTCACGAGACAAGCCCTCACATGTAACCCTCAAAGCAAAAGGAAAAGAGGAAGGCCAAGGAACACATTACGCCGAGAAATAGAGAAAGATATGAGAGGAATGAACAAACATTGGACAGAACTGGAGAAGGAAGCCCAGGACAGAGTTGGTTGGAGAAGACTGGTGGGCGGCCTATGCTCCATTGGGGGTAACAGGCGAAATGAACGATGATGAATGAATGATATATATATATATATATATATATATATATTCGTTATTTGTATATTATGAATGTTTAAGATAAACTTGTATTTTAATTCCATGTTCAATATGTTGGGTCTTGGTTTTTCTTATTGTCTAGTAAATATGTATTGTGTAGTAAAATAGTTTATTGTTATATCAACTGTCGAACAACAAGTGATGTATTTTTTTAAAACTAGAGAAGCTTATTCAAGTGAGAAACAGATATATGCTTATCTATCAAATAAACATTCATATCTTTCAAGCTAAGTACATTTCAGATTTATTAAAGTTGAATAATAATTATGTTTGACGAATAATGCTCCTATTTATTCATAAAATTCTCGTTTTACTCTCAGAAACCAGTTAATTGTTGGTGCAGCTGTTTCTACACAAGAAAGTGATTTCGATCGTGTCAAAGCTCTGATTAACGCTGGAGTCGATATTATTGTTATAGTGAGTACTCTACATTTGCGATTATTTCAATATCTGTTGTCTCATTCTGCAACAATTTTAATCTTCTTAGTCGTATGCGTAAACTCAAAACTAAACCTACTTGATCAGTAATAATAACCGGATAAAGTTCAATCCTGAAATGCAGCTTTCGAAAGTCAAACGGTTAAACATGCACATTTAGTCACTACTTTTCGTGTACTGCAGATACACAGCCGGGCTTGTTTCATATTAGTTTCAAGAGCATTATCATTCAATACTTTTTCATTCTATTACAGGGTAATGTTAGGACCTAGTAAATGAACCGAACCCTTCATTTGATTTTCATTCGAACTCCTTCAGACACGCTTATTTTACCGTGCCTTAAATTCTTCGCTAACAGATTTCATTTCATTAACGCAATAATTTGAAGACATCACAACAAAATTCAATCGATTCAACAGTTAATAACTTATTTGGACTGACAAAACTGTCATTTTTATACAGATCTTATTGATTGTAAGCAAACCGAAAATCCCCATCTTACTATAATAACATATGCTTGTAAGGAATACATTAATATGATGCGACTTAAAGGAGTGGATTTCCTCTACTTCTTTTTTAAAACACTAATAATCTATAGAATTCATAAATCTCTGCCTTGTTTACTGATGAATATAGTGAAAAAAATTCATTATCGTTCAGTCCATCATTTTCGATACATTGTACATTGTTTTTTGAATATATACCATTCTATTACATTTACATTTTATTCATTTTCATAAAAGCTGTATAATATTTTAGCAATTTATACTGATGTAATTATCTTTTGTATAACCTATGTTGTTATTCGAGTATCAAAGAAAAAAACAGCTGCACTTTTAAAAAATTTCATTGTGCTTATTGCATTATTCTCAAAGAGAAAAAGTACATTTTCATTATGTCTCCATGGTAAACTACATTAAAATTTATTTTTCAAAGTCACTGATCGTTTAGTCTATTTTTGGGCTAGCATGAATGGTTATTTCTTTTTGGCTTTAGAGTATTATGAAAATGTTACTGTTTCCTAAATTGCAAAATGCAATCTTATCATTTCAAATCAGTAATATTCAAAACGTATGAAAAAAACCCATCATATATTAAATGAACTTATTTTTCACAAGTTTTTACATTCAATTTATTGTCGAATGTATGGTTATGGTTAATATTATTTATTCTTGTATATTTAAATGGTTGCTGATGTGGTTGATAAGTATTTTCTGTCAAAACTTAGCCAACTTTAACTTGGTTATAAGTCACATTCCAAATATAAAGGTCCAATCTGGTTTTCTAACCTGCAATTCATGGAACTAGGTTTACACCTGCGATTTAGTGGTTGAGCCATCGTTTCTTTAATACAAACGGATAAGATATTTTGATTCTGGTAAAATATTCTCATTTTATCGATAGAAATCTTCAATGTTTTTATAATACTTAAAGTTCTTCTGTGTAAGTGATAGCCAGTGATTTATTAAAATTATTTGAAAGGCAAGCTTGCTAATTTGTGCTTGATAACATTTTATTCATTTCGGGAATTCTTTCATTTTTTTCTTCTCAGAGACCATCGTGATTATCAGTATTCAATTCGCTGGGTATTATTCTGTCGTAGAGTTTTAGCATGGAATTACATTTTACAAAAGTAAATAGATTCATCAAAGGACAGAAGAACTAATGGAGGGGGTTAGGCAGTGTTTGACGTTAATTCGTCCGATTTAAGGCATTTAGTCCATTTTATAGAGTTCGTTTGAATAATGATAAGATGGAGTTGATCTGAGAAATGTAGCGTATTTGCGCTATACATTTCGAACAATCTGATCACATATGCTTATTTAATTAACCTTTATTAATTTTCATTTAAAATGCCTTGGCAAGCATGTGTATGACCAGACTGTCTAACGCGAATCTATTAAATTTCGGACCAACCCCGTCTTCTCATTGTCAATTCATTCATCATTTTGATTTACTCAGATAAGATCGCTCATAATATATATATATATATATATATATATATATATATATATATATATATATATATATATATAATAGGAGCGTGTTAAACAGCTCGGGTAGCCAACTCATAACCTGCAGCTACCTCAAATAAAAAGGCCAGAAATAAAACCTGAGTCATGAATGCCCAACTTGTAGAAGAAAGACCTGAAAAATGAGGGTTGATAGACTTTAACTGTCATAAGAATTAGTTCTGTTACTTTACTTACTGAGTAAATACTCTACTCACCAGCCGTTTACTACATAATACACATGAATTTCAGGTTTTCTGCTCATAAATAGATATCAAAACTATGAAGTGTATTTGCAAACTTATCAGATCTAGTTGATTGCTTCAGTGCAAATATAGATGCACATCTATAGAGTAAGACGGTGTGGTGTACACCATTATAGCAAAGCCATTAAAAAGGCGCTGCTATAAGTCATTCACTAATTTATCATACCGTTGGATATCAGTAATGTGAAAATGCACATTTATGTAATGAGTGTTTAGAATCTTTATCATACCTTCCTATGTTTCTTTACAATGTGTAATCTATGTATTACTTTTCAAAATGAGTGTTGGCTTAGAACATTGAATCATTTTTTCCATTCCATAGAGTTGATAAACCAATTAGTGAATCCTGTGCATGTTTATCGTTTAAAATAACTCAAAAAGATGTAACACTTATCCAGGCACGTGTTTTTTCGATATGTGATAATCTCGAGGATTATCAGGAGGAGAATAGAAAAATATTCAAGATTATCGTATTATATTAACTAAACTGTAAAGTTATAAATTAAGGACCAATATTAATGGTAAAAAATATTTTTAAAACTTTAAATAAAACAAGATGTTTGTTGTAAAATTTTATTTTAGTAATACTCTTAGTAATTTAAATTTAGTTAGTCCTAACATTTCACCCGATAGTCTGGTTCAAGCTTCTTGGACAAAATCAAACTGATCAAAACAAATAAGATAAAAAAAGGCATTTACACTTTAAGCTTTTAAAACATTAATACATGAATTTATAAAAACTTTCGTCTAAAGTTGGGCACCAAGCTAAATGTTTATATATATATATATATATATATATATATATATATATATATATATATATATATATATATAAATTTTAAATTATAGCATATGAACTTAATTTTGTTTGTGAAGAGAAATAAAATTGTTAACGTTGATATGACTAATCTGTGCTGTTAAGTTAAACATGTTCACACGTTCAATGAAACTTTGACATCAATGATCACAATAAATGTGGGTCAAATAGGGTGATAATAACTTATTAACCAAATTCGACCGATTGCTTAATAGATAATGTTATATACATTGAATAAAAAATATTAAAGTGGGTTGAGTGTTAATCAAATTAATTACGTGTTTGGGAAAATTATTGTAGTGTCGAACCAATAATAATAATAATAATAATAATGGCGGCACAGATCTATGTCAATGAAGATAAGGTTGACAATTTCATTTGACTAAGAAAGGTTGTATGTACATTAGTACAATTGGATCATTCTATATTTAAAAGAACTATCGGCTAATTGGAACTGAAGTTGGTCACGATATGAGGAGGGTTTAAACGTTTTCCTTTTGCATACATAATTCTGGCTTTTTGATTCCTATTGCTATTGCTTCTGCCATTTGAAGAGTTTTTAGTCGGACTGATTTTAGCCAAACAGTTACTAACCCGATCAATTATTGAGAAAGATTTATTTATACTGGCTTTATGACCAGTCTGCACTAAATGCGCCGAAATTGATCTATTCACAGCCTTCACTACATTGCTCAGTCAAACTTGGATGTGTTCACGAAAACAAAAATGTAAATTCTCAGAACTTCGACCTATATGACTTACCCCAAAAACAGTCGAATGGAAATATGCAAAATGAGGTAGTCATTCTTGGTAATTCCTCTTTTAGTATCGGCGTCACCGTTGGGCACTTAGGAGATACTATTTGTGATTTCCCGACGTTGTATGTTCTTTTGCTTGCTCTGCACAATCCCTTGATTAACATCTCACCGGCTGCGTCATCCCAAAGTTGTAGGCATATGAACAGGAATTGCCTATTTACTGTTTGTATTTCGCCTATTCTAACTTTTAGAGTCATATATTTGTTTTTAAACTTTCCGGATTATCCATTTTCCTAAGTGTATTACGTAAGGCATTTAGCTCATCTTCAACTATATCGTTAGAACATTGAGTATCTATCCGATAGCTAAGAGTTTTACCTGATTTCTTTAATATTATAGGGGGGGGGGGTACAAAGCTGAGGAAATCTGTGTACTGCCTTGCCCAGGCATTTCTCATGTTTAAATTCTTTCTCATCGATCCATCCTCTCCTTTAGTGCATAGAACTTCCAAAAATGCTATTCTACCTTCTGTTTCTTCTTCAGATGTAAACTTACTGGCAGCAACTCCAGTAGTAATGTACTATCTTTACAAAGGATAAACGTGTCAATCATATGTGGACAGTAAACTGAATAATCTATCCAAGTGAACCATTTTCTAGTGTAGCTAGAAAAATATCAGCTCATATGAGACCACACGATGAACCAAGTTTAATTTGAAAATTACATTGATGGTACATTTCAGTCATCATTCTTTTTGTGATAAGAATTGGAACTAGTTTCTAGTTCGTTTTTCTCTACTAAGCTTTTTTCTAATGACGTCCAAATACTGATTTTGTTTAAAGTGACAATGTGGGTCATTTTGTGTTCTTTTTGTTCAATGTACACCATATGAACTTGTGTACTTGGTATTATTGTTAAAAATCCAGTAAACAGATGGATTTTTTGGTTTTGGATAGGGTCTTATTCACGACTGTGTTTATCTTAGAGCTAAAAGTACATTAGAGAGGAGGTAGTGTGTTTTTTGAAGTTAATGAAATACATCTGAAAATCAACAAGCACGAAATTAATCAAACGATTAGTTAGTACATTATTGTTGATGTCCTTATAATTGATGCTATAGAAAAATAAAGTAGAAATGAAGTATATAATTTTTATGAATCATCAACTGTTATCTGATCATAGCTGCTCTTATCCTGTCTATTCAGATTGTTTGAATTCTGTCATTTATGTTGAACTGTGTTAAAAACTTACTTAAGGATTTTAATTCTCTTGTTTTAATCGTATGTTTTCATACAGTCTTGTCTTAACTTAGCGACTTTCATAGTCAGCTATCTAAATATTTCATTGGTCTATGCATGATGGCACTGATTATATTTAATTTCAAAGATAAAACTTTGTTGTTTCTTTTTATGAGAATATATTTTTAACTTTTATTAATGCTAACCTTTATACCATGTTTATTCAGAATCCTTCGATATTACTTTACTTCTCTGTAATAAAATAATTAGTTTTGTTTATTAAGGGATATGGTGATTTGCAATCTGTATATTTATGTGAATCTGACGATTTTTGAAATATACTAATCATCACATGATAATTATGTCTGTTTTCAGTCAAACAGTAGAGAAATATTTATCTGTAGTCATTAAATTCTGTCTCTGTGTTAATCTTATATTATATAACACGATGTTTACCTGTTCAAATAGTTTATCTGATCATTCTTATTTCATAATAAACTTAATCCTTCCTATCATCACATTTTTATGCATTTACAGATATAAGTCCTTTTTCTTATAATAATTCGAAATCTTGTATTTTTAACTATCAGAATGATATTTTAGAAGACTTGCTTTAGGTTTTGCTTGAAAAGTTCTATATTTATACATGCAACACTGAAAGTTTTAAAATCAAGTTGACTTCTTTGAACTATGAATCTTTTACCAGTAAATACACTTGACTTGTGCTTACTTTAATTCATTCCTAAATTGGTTTAGTTTGTAACTGTCTGTTAGATGATGGATGATTGCTCATTTTGTATTCTTGAATATTCACAAATGCGATTGAACGATTTATGCTTTATTTGTTATTCAAAATGATTTACTATTGTTTTTTGTTTTTCAGGATTCTTCTCAAGGTAACAGCATCTATCAACTAGATATGATCAAGCGCATAAAATCTGTATTCCCAGATTTACAAATAATAGGAGGAAATGGTAGGTTAAAGTTTTTTTATTTTCAATTAAAATTATGTACTATGTTAATGGTATTCCTATTGTTACAAATAATTCTTATATTCATCTTGTTATCCATTATTTTTATGAATTAAGCAACTATGGATTTTTGGTAGTTATTCCAACGGAATTTATACGTGTGCATTAGATATTCATAAAGTGGATTGGTTTAATAAGTATATATATATATATATATATATATATATATATATATTTGTAACTATTGATAGCTTTGATGCATTTACGCATCACATCGGACTATGCGCTTTTAGTTATCACACTGTTTGCACGTAATCATTAATGAATCATGTCAAACATCACATCATTGCTTTATGATTATTGAAAATATGGTTAAACTTTTTAATGACCTTTAATTGTAATCATTGTATTATTCATCAATTTTATCAAATTTTAATTGAATTACAATTATATTTTCAAAACTCACTCATACCAACTTGTGCTTATAATAATTGTTACTGTAGTATCATATGGTGCTTTTGTATCGAAAGTTTATTTTCAACAAGAAGTTTTTACAAATTTTTATACGTTTTAAACTATCAGAGCGTTTCTCAATGTCTTTTGTTGTTGAATGAACCGCAAAAGAAGATTGGTTAACGCGTTCATTTAATCATTAGTAAAACATAAAAGTATCTACTTATATTATGATCGACTGTTTATTGAAAATTTAAGATCATGGAAATTTTTCACTAGAATGATCTGTGCTGAAATCATCTTTATTTAATTGTATCAAGTATTTAGGATGCATTTTTGTCTTTTGTTTAAATACGTCACTATTCAACAGACATCAAATTATACAAAATAATAATCATGAAATCACTGACAAGTAGACTGAGTCATGTTGGCAGATGTAGGCTATCTGGTTGGGGTCCGCGAGACGAAAGTCACCGATGGTTAGAGACCTTGAACGACATGGCTGAAAACCGTTTGCAATGGCGCACGTGCATCAACTCTTTGTGTCCTCTCAAATTCTAACCTTCTGAATTCCTCATAATCTCTACCTTTCTCCTTCTAAATTTATCTTACTGAATTATACTTCTCGAATCATATCTTCGCTCCCTAATCTTCTCCATTACTGCTAATACTTTTACTATTGCTATCACTCTTGGACTTGAACTGACAGTTGCGTCTCTGTGCTGATGGGGTATGGCAACCTGAACTGATGTACTTATGTACGAAGTTCTGGGTTGTATCTGTCTGTCTGTCTTTGTGATGATTAAAAACTTTGATAATTCTGTATGATGCTTTTTTGCACTCATTACATTATATCATTTGTTTCATGTTAGTTATAGTTGAGTTATTCATAAAATTTTATTGACTAACATTATCCATTCAAATGAATGCATATGTAACAATGGAACATCTAATTTAAAAACTAGTTATAGCATAAAAAATAAACATGGTTATAACTCATGTAAAACATTGTAGTGATTGTATAATGACTGCTTTATATGTCATGTATTTTTTTTGAAACATGACTTTTATTTTCTGATTCCTACTATTCGTATTAACAGATTAACTGTTCGTTTTTAAAGTTCAAAACATTCACTCAAATGTTTCGTTTTCATACCAACAAACATCATTTTTCCTTGTTCGTTTTAAAACTAACTATTTTATAACCATGAATCGATCAATGTTAGACCACCATTAGAAGCCTGAAAGCACTGGACAGCCGTTTCGTCCTGGTATGGGACTCATCGGCAGTAATTAGCTACATGAGGAAATTCTCAGAGTTCTAGTGAGAAGACGTGACCAGTGAAGTTCAACCCTGTCAGGTGTAGGCAGTAACTACCAAAGGCAAATGGGTGAGGTCGCGCAAAATCTCTAGATCAGTCAGAGTTAGACATTGACACCGTTGGATGCCGGCTCAGCAGTCCAGAGATTAGGCACTCGCGCGCAAAGTCCCGGGTTCCAACCCTGAAAGGTGCAGATGTAGTGAATGCGCACTGCTGATGAGTCCCATACCAGGAACTGATTGCCGTCCAGTGCTTCCAGGTTTCTAATAGTTGTCTAACAATGATTGACTGATGATTTAAAATGTGTAAAAACAATTATCTCCATAACTCTAAATAAAAAATTATCATAAATCAGTGATTGTTTTGAACTTTGTTCCTTGTCAGCCAAAAACTTGAAATAAATGCTTTAAGTCCCTGATGAATCGCTTTTCATAAATCCCTTTTCACAAATCAGTTGTTAAGTAAAAAGATATCACTGAGTTTCTCTTCGAAAAATCATAATTTGCTGATACAACAATACACATTCTGTCAGTCAGTCAGTTACAACGTAAAAATTCGTAAGTACCTGTGTCAGTTCATGTTGCCATACCGCGTTAACACAGAGACGCAACTGTCAGTTCGAATCCCATAGTGGTGGAAGAATTACTGCTTACATTGTTGCTTAGGGTAGTCAGAAGACTCTGTATTTTGTCAGCATCTTCACCGAATAGGACCAAGTCATCAGCATACCCTAAGTGAGCAAGCGTCGATCCTGGTTGAAGGTTCACACCTGAAAAGTCTGACGAAGATTATGTTAACTCTAAAAGCACATCTACGACAAAGTTGAACAAGAATGGAGAGAGTGAACATCCCTGACGAACACCACTTGAGATAACCAATTCCGATGACAGTTCGCGATAAGCCCTAACTCAACCAGTGGTGCTCGAGTAGAGAGCATGTATAAGGTTAATGTAACTTCTCTGGTACACCTTTCAATAACACACTGCCACAGGACCTCCCGATCGACAGAGTTGAATGCCGCCTTAAGGTCGAGAAATACTACTATTGTGGGGCGTCTGAACGAGTGTGTTTTAGCACCTGATGTAGTGTGAATACCTGGTTTATGCAGTCACGTCTAGGTCTAAAACTAGCCTTGTTTTCGCTAGTTCGCTCTTCATGAGCTCTAGTTAATAGTCGGAGTATTATTGAAGCCAATATTTTCGATACTATATTAGTTGGACTGATTCCGCTGTGATTGTCACGAGGGGATTTTTGTCTTTTCTTATAAATTGGGACAATCAGTTCGGTGGATGCTACTGAGATCCATGGCTTCTTCCTAGCCTTATGGTTTACCTCGCTAGCAGATATCACTGCTGTTTCCACAGCTTTTTGGACATCGTTTCTAGCTACCTCCGGAAGGGGATCACTTACATGGTCGCCTAACTGTTTCTCTAGTTGTTCCTGAAATATTTTCATAGCTCTGCTATCATTAAGTAGAACCCTAAGAGGTTTCCTGGCGATGTTTTTCCTACGTCTGGTAAGTTGAAAACAAATACGGGCTCTCACTAGAGCATGGTCTGAATCTAGACATGTGTCTTTCAATTACACGGTTATGAATATTGATTTTGAACCAAGAAATTCGATAATCATTTTAGATCCAGAGTAATTTAGCCTTTGATTATTGTAGATCCCTTCAGACTGCGGTCAATTTGACAAACATTTGTGTAGTCAACCGATCTCATTAAATATAAGAATTATATGGACGGATAGATGAGAAAATAGAGAAATCTATTGATAAAATACAGAATACGACTAATATTTCTCAGAAATTATATCAAGATGGGATGGATGTGTAATTTTGCACTTATAAAATCTGTCATGCAGTATAGAGAAAATTTGAATAGGGAGTTTTCATATTTTCATATTGCATAATAAAGTAAATTGTTAAGCATGTGATATCCATTTATTTAGGCATTCATTCGAGTTACACCTTTTTAATGAACTAATAAACTTCTGACCGTTTTTTATCTATTCAAATGTTACATTTCATATTTCAAGGCCACTACTAATTAGTGGTTCATCATTGTTTATGCGAAATCTAACAAAATAATATATTTGCTTGAATTCTCTCTGACGTACAGAATTCAATCTTTTTGATGCATATAAACAAGTTTTACATATTTATCAGTATTATTTGCTCTTAAGTTATGGAAAAAGTAAAGGATAGGATTATTGTTAACGTTCAGAGGTTGTATTTAAAACTGTTCAATGATCTATTAGGCTTTTTGTTTATACCATTTTTATGCTATTCTTTTTTAAAACTATTATTTTATCCGTTTGGACTTCGATTACTGGCACAGTAATCTATTACTATGGGTTTTAGACTTGAAAGCATATTGATTTTGTCCTACAGACGATCAAAATATGTCTGTTCTAAATGTATCTATTGTTCAGTATTTGTATATGATACTTATCATAGTTATCTAATGCAAAAGTGATTATCTATTATAACTACTCGAAGTTACCTCGACTTATTTCTAGTTGATGAGTTAAAACTGGTGTATGTTAATTACGACAATTTTATTCCTGGGTATCAATAGAAGGGATTGAAACATCTGTTGATATTATCTCTGATTACAGTAGTAAAAGATGTTGGTTTATATTTCTACGATAGGATTTTTCTGGAATAGTAAACAATCTAAGTTTATTTACTTGTGTTATCAAAAATTCACCAATAAATTGGACGTACACAAAGGTATCATGCCCAAGTTAGAGTAATTTGTTTGCTTACGGTGAAGTTTCTCTGAGCTGTATCTTTTGATTGTGAAGCTTTCATTGTTCTTCTCCATCTGACTGAACTCAATCGTTGATTGTCCCAATTTGTAACAAAGGACAATAGTCCTCTTGTGACAATCACAGGAGAATCAGTATAACTAATATAGTATCGAAAATATTGGCTTCAATAATATTCCAATGTTTAACTAGAGTTTGTGAAGAGCATACTAGGGAAAACCAGGCTGGTTTTCGACCTAGACGTGACTGCATAAACCAGGTATTCACACTAAATTTGCTTACTTAGGGTATGTTGATGACTTGGTCCTATTCGGTGAAGATGCTGAAAAAATGCAGAGTCTTCTCACTAATTAACAAAGCGAGCATGTTTGGGATGCGGTTTTCCCCCTCGGAATGCAAAATATTGATTCAGATTTGGCTTGCGACGGCACCTGAACTATTGTTAAGGAGTGAAGT